TGGTTCGGTTCAGGCTCCTGGTTCGGGTGTGCGGGATAGATGGGCGCTGTGGGACAGTGTGCTGCGACGTGCGCACGTTTTGCACTAAAGAGCCGCCCATCCTTGGGGAGAAAAGGCTTTTCTAGTGTGGCTCAGCTGGTATAAAAATTCTGAGGCTGCATCTCCACAGTAAATGTGTGGGCTGACTGAGCCCAAAGACTTCTTGAAATGTTGTTGAATGAGATGTGACCTGCGCTCCGGGGTTGAGACGTGGCACGCGCTGTCCCTGTCTGCTTCCCGTTTAAGCCGTGCTCATCGTTATAAGCCACAGACTTTATCTGTTCATCTTCATAACTGCATAAAATGTTGTCCTTTTGTTAAATCCTCTTCCTATTGAGGAGACTCTTATTGTGTCTTTACACATTTTATGGGCTTTGAAAATAGCAAAAACTACCCAAARTAAATGAAGTGCAAGGAGATTCCAGTACTGGAGCAGGTTAGGGTCTTCGTTAGGTGCCAGCAGTGGTCCGGTGCTGTGCAGGATCTGGAGCTGCAGACAGTTGTCAGAAGACACAGATGATCCATCCAAAGCTGGGTACAGGATGCCAGAGGGGAAGAAAACGGAAAATGGTGCAAGGTTTGCAGAGTATATAAGGCAGGTCGCTTATTTCTTTGTATTTGCAAATGAATGCAGCGTGTGCTTCCGTGCTCAGGGAAATACCTTTATCCAGGATTTTATCAGTGCTGCTCTGGTGAGGGAGGAGACGGTTCATTTGTTTGTAAACACAAATGCACTGGTTGTGTTTCAAAAGCAGCATTTTAGGAGTAAATTAATCTGTGGCGACTAGGTCCAGTGTGCAGAGAAACATGAAATGTTTTCAGACCTTATTTTCCTTGAAAACTGAAAAAGATGATTCCGTAGTGTGTACAATTGCAGAGCTATGTGCCTGAACCAATATGTCAAACTGTCATGTGGGAGATTTGGTGAAAAACATCTTGTCCTAAGGGAATAATTTTAAACACTATATGTAGGTTTGCTGCCTCATAAGAGATCATTACTCAAATCTATTCCCTCTTATGGTAGCTTGGCCTCTGCTTAACGGGCTCGGAGCGAGCCAGAGCCTGCTAATGGCTCCTCTAAGAGAGGTTATCGGGTGGTGGAGGGAAAGTGATCTCCGGCCAGGGAATTGGGTGGTTTTGGCCAAACGCTCCGACAAGGTGGTGACGAGAGGGGCAGCAACGCGGAGCTTCACGCTCGAGYGGCCATTGAGGGCGGCTGCGGCGCGGGCCCGGCGCGGGGCGGAGGGGCCACGCAGCCCCCAGCGCCGCCGCCGCCGTGTCAGAGCCGGTGAGGAGGTATAAGGGACAAGCCCCAAGGCAAGGAGCCGTGCCAGGGATCTTCACCTCCTGTTTGTCACTTTAATCTTACAGCAATGCTGAAGCGTGGAGTGGAACCCACTGCAAACCAGACCTTCACCAGGCTGCAGGCACGCGTGCTCGCTCCCCGCCTGCGGGGTCTCTTGCCGCTTTTGTTGTTGCTGTTTTTGGCAAAAATGAGAGAAATGACAGGAGCAGCACCTGAAGAGCAGCTCAACTTCTGTTGCCTCTGCGGAGCATCTCTGTTGCCGTGGCTACGCGCTGCCCCTTCCCTCGCGCTCCCCTGCGGGAGGCGACGGCGCTCGCAGCAGAGCGGGTGAACCTGGTTTCAGCAGCGCTGGTTTCCTTCAAAACCAGCACCGCCTTGCCTTGGGGACTGGCGTGGGGGCCATGGCCGTCAAGGAAACGTTTTTTGCCTTTGAAAGCACATGTAAAATGTTACATGAGGGAAAAGGCTTTTGAGAGCAGTGCACTATGGTGGAGTGAACGTACACACTCTTGGTGTCTTCCTTGGCGTCACTAGGGAGGGAATCAGGATCTAATGTCACCTGCACGTGCCGCCAACAAGAGCGATGTCCCCCCGTCCCTCGTGGGCCGCGGAGCATCCCTGGGTGGCCGGCATGGCAGCCACGGAGCAGAGTGGTGCCCGCAGCACGGGGGTGGACGGCCCCGGCACGCTCAAGTGTCTTTTGTGTCACTCGTTACTGATGCAGAGAATATTTTGAAATGTTTACCAAAAATATACACTCCAAGCATCAGTAAACAAATTTCCTGGAGTGTTGGCTGAACACAAGCACATAAAGGGTGTGAAACCAGTTGAACTTAATTCACTGTAATGTTCAAATGTGTGTTTGCAAATATTTTTTTGCCATAGTCACCCAGCTCTTCCAGATGTTGTGGCTGGCTTTTGGAAATGCCTGTGCACAAGCTGAGCTAATAATATTAATCAACCCTCGTGTTAACTTCCAGGGCACTCAGTGCTTATTGCAGGAATTTTCTCTGCTGTGAGCAATTTTGCACAGTTGGCTGGGATACAGACTTGTGGTTTTTTTCTTGTTTTTATCTTCCTCTGAAAGGGGCTGTTGCTACGCACGGCGTAACGAGTAGGATAGGAGGTTCTAATCGAGATAAAGGGAAGCGGTTGTTTCGGTGGCGGTAGCTCGCTGTTTGCAGCCAGGGGCCGGGAGAGCCGCACGCCCAGGGGCCGAGCAGGAGCGCTCAGGCTGGGGCCGCTGCCGACACCACCGGGCTCTCGGGGCTCCCTGCAGCCCAGCCTGCAGCAAGATGCCGCGAAGCAGCAAACGCAGCCAAAGCAGCCAAGTGTGGACGCCGCGGGAAGATAGGTAATGCACGGAGCGGAGCTTAACCCACCTCGCTCTCGCCTCGTCAGACGAGACGGTGGGTGCCGCAGCAGGGCCCTGCTCTGCTGCCAGCCGTGCGCTGCCAGAGGGCTGCGCGCTGGGCCCTCGCCAGACTCCTCCTGGTCTTTGGTCATTTGTGGCTTTGGGTTTCGCACCTTCTCTCTGCATTCTGTGCTTGCACCACGTGCTCCAGCTTTTATCTCTACTGCAGCGTTGCCCGCAGGAGCTCTCCGTTCCCAAGTGCCGCAGCCTGCGACCCGAGGAGTTTCACAGCATCTCCCCAAGCTCTGCTCTATCCTATCCTCCAACTGGGCCAGGAAGCCTCCGCCCAGACCTCTGGGCCTGCGGTAGGGAAGGTGGCCCTTTGAGAAGGCTGTTGCTTTCACTAATAACACTTAGAGCTTTCTTGTAGTCATTGCTAATAGAGGCAGCTTTGCAATTTAGACAGAATATGTTTGAAAATTCCTTGCTTATTCCTTGTACTTCATGACTGACAATGATTTATCTGAAACTTGGCAAGTGCAAGGCAGTGAAGTGATGACACCATCTTGCTTTATCTGACTAATTTTAATGTGCAGAGTCCCATCAGTCCCTGCTAGCAAAACCCCTCAGGAGCGCGTGTGTGTTGCATAAAGCAGCACTGCTGGTTTGAACGAGGCAGGGGGGCTGAGGAAGGTGGTAAAACTGATCTGCTGTGGGAGCAGTGCTGCTTTGGGAAAGACCAGGCCGAGGTTCTCATGTTGAAGAACATGATTCTTACCAGGTGGAACAGGACAACTTCCAATTTAAATATGAAGAGTCCCATCAAAAAGCTTTGTCAAGATAGAAATGACTGAAAAAAACAAATTGGGCTGAGTRTTTCCTTCCAAATTGCTTTTGAAATAACTTGTGCGAGCACGAGCCTTGCTGGAAGCTCTGCTCCCCTTGGCGGCCCTTCCTGGGTCTCGTCACAGAGTTTCTGCGCCCGCAGAAGCCGCAGGGCRGCTCGAGCTCCCGCGTGGGGCTCTTGGATCACGTGTCCTGTGGTTGGTGTCACGTCGCAAATTCAACACCTGAGATTTCCTCTTGCGCCAGCCAAGCCTGTCAATCCCTGTGGGATGTGTTTGGCCTCCATTCCTTTGTTATCCCCAGTGAATACCTCCCCTAGCAGTGCGCCCCTCTGGTGCCGCTGGCAGCCGAAGGCCGGGCGCAGACCGTGCTGCGTGTGCCCGCAGAGCGGCCCACGGGTCTCGGGCTTGTGTGGGCAGAAGCTCCGGGCCTGGTGACGCGCAGCCCGGTGCCGGGTCTGGGTCCGGGAATTCCTTTCGCTGCTGCCTCTGYGAGCGTCCCCGTGTCCACAGCCCAAGCGCTGGTGGCCTCCCGCGCGCCGGCTGCTTGTGCCGTGGGTCCCGGCAGACTCCTTCCTGTGGAGGAAGAGGAAGGGGGCTGCTCTCGCAGGGAGTGATCTGCAGGTGCTGGTGCTTCCCGTCCCTGCTCATTGCTGCGCGGATCCACGATTGGGCCGTGCGCACGCGGCCTGTGCCTGCCCAGACTGCGCCCTGGCTCACAGGGATTGGTGCTCCGCTCTCTGACCGTGCCGCTCGCTGAGCAACCCAGCCGATGAAACGCTGCTCGGCCGCAGGGCACTGCACAACGTGGTGGTCTTCACTCAGCTGGCGCCTGGCCCGCTTCACCCAGCGGCGAGGGACCCGCAGCAGGTCCCCAAGGCCTGGCCCAAGCCATGGTGCAGGGCGGTGCTGGCCCCGCCACGCGGCTGGTCCCTCTCGAGGGACCCGAGGCAGCGGATCTGTCTGTGCGCTGCTGGGGGTGCTTTGCACAAGAGCGTGGCGCTGCAGTTGAAGTGGAGCAAATCCGGCTTGTTCCACATAGCGCGACAATCCTGCCTGGCTCCCGGGCTGGACCGGTGGAGACCGTGTGAAGCAAAGCCTCAGCGAGGCCGCTCGGGGCTGCGTTGAGCTTGCTGTGTGCACGGGACGCAGGAGCGCAGTGGGAGGCACCGACTGTGCCGCCCCAGCGAGATCCTTGGCCGCGAGGCACAGGGGTGACGGAGATGTTTGGGGGGAGCTGCAGGGAAGCGAYCGTGTCCTGGTTCTGTGCCACAGTGGAGAATTCACCTTGTGGACGTCACCGCTGGAGGTGAAGGTTTCGCCAAGAGCCCACGGGTGGTTTAAGTGCCCGGGTGGCCCCGCGGGCGCGTTGAGGGCTGCGGGTGGTGGAGGGCCCGGCGGCTGGAGGGCTTGTGCGGCTCGTTGTGACAATAACTTCTCTGTTGACCCCTTCCAGCCCATGAACTGCCTCCGAGCAAGAGCTCCGCGCCGGCGCAGACTGGCAGCCACTTGCAATGCCTCTCGGTTCACTGCACGGACGACATGGGCGAGGCGAAGGGCCGGACTGCAGTGCCGACGTGGAGATCCCTGCACTCAGACATCTCCAACAGATTTGGGACTTTCGTGGCTGCCCTGACTTGAACAAAAGAAATTATTTTTTTCCTCTTTTTAATTTCACAGGGCCGCTACTGCTAGGTGGACTATTTTTCTAGGTTGGTACCTGCTTAGTGGCACATGGACTGGAAAGGGTTAATTTAAAGTAAACCTCAACTTTTTTTTAATCTTCTGCCACAGTATGTTACCAGTGTTAACCCTTCTGCAGTTAGCACACTTTTGCTTAAGATTTTTCCTGCTAGACCACTTTTCCCATTTTCTGTAATCTTGGCATACATTTATAGATGAGGCCTTTCCTTTGTCATCTCAGCGTATGTCCAAGCCACGTATGTCATGATAAGACAAAGATGCTACTTCTCCTTCTCCTTTTCTTTCTTTTCTTTTACGTTTTTTTTTTTCTCTTCTTTTTTGCTTTGTTCAGTGCTTTTGCAATGGTGTCCTGAAGAACAGCAGTTCAGGAATAAACACCGGTTAAAGTGGAATTGTCATCATTATATTATATATTGACACCAGCTTCTGCCAGCCACACGAGCCAAACAACTAAAGCTGTGTTCAGTCTTCAGGCGATGAGTCTGTTCTTTCTTGGAAAGATTATTTTTTGTCAGTAATAGCACATTTAATCACCTCCCTCCCTCATTTACTTTCTCCATCCCTCCCTCTTTAGGCGAAGCTGGGGTTTGGTTTATTTGTTGTTGTGAAGCCCAGATACAGAGGTCTGTTGCAGACAGCGGGTCTAGTCCTGATGCAGCCCTGAGTTTGTGGGGATTTTGTTCACAGTAAGTCTAACAGACAGTTTACTTAGTGATCAATAGTTCTCTCTTCTCCAGCAGATGCCCAGATGAGCAGGGCTGCTTCCCCTGCCTCCCGCGGCCGCCCGGAGCACCGCGCAGCCCTGCGGTCCGGCTGCTCTCCCCGGAGTGGTCCCTGTTCAGAGCTGTGCAGAGAACAGAACCTCCCCAGGTGCCCGGGGTTGCTCTCAGTCTCCGGGTTGAGGCTGCAGGGCCAGCGCATCCCCGTGTCCTGATGCCAACCCTTGTCCCAGCCCTTCTCCGGGACGGTCCCGTACCCTGGGCTCAGAGCTTGCTCTGGGCTGGGATGCCCTGCGTTGGATGCCCTGAGCTCAGCCTGGCCCCAGTTTTGCCGTGCATGTGAAGGACAGTATTATTAGATGCACACAATAAAAGGGAAACCATGCTTTCCTGCTCTCGATAGATAATTCTCATTTGAGAAGTACGTTGGAAGCAAACCAGCTCAAAAGAAAAATGACACGATCTGACACTCCTGCGGTTTTACATAACTCTGTCTATTATTTGTGTATCCTCTGTTTACAGGGAGAGTGAACGGTCCCACCCTTGGTCAGGCCAGCCTGGTTTCCTCTGCTCCCGGGGGCTTAACAGCTTCATTGGAAATGGAGGTTTTAGCTGTGAAATAAAGGTCGGAATCTCTAGTGTTATTTATTGGGGTTTTTTGTTTGTTTTGTTTTGTTTTTCCATGGAGTCCCAGAATGTGCCCCTTCTCAAGGGACAGGCTGACGGCTGCTTTGTATTTGTCTCAGATGGTCATGCTGGGCCTTAGTTAATTTGAAGTCGTGTCTCGGTAGACAGCGGGGAGAGAGAATTCCACCCAAAATGTGAGCGACCCAGGAGCTTCCATTGCAGTCACGTGTTGTTCAGAAAGATCCTTGCTCTTTAGGACAGCACTCTTCTCTGTTAGGTGAATGTGCTCTCATGAGCCGTGCAAGAGAGTTTTCCTGTTGTGGTTCCGGTCAGTGGCTTTATTTTGGGTAGATTTGGGGGACTGAATTTTGATTTTTGGTACTATTTTGGTTTTTATTGGAGCTGCCACTAGAATGAGTTGTTGTGCATCCTGAAGCGATTGACTCTGGAGCTGTCTCCTACCTGCTTAGTTTGGAACAAAAAGAGGTGATATTTTGTACCTTTTATAGGTGCTTGTGCTACTGAAAAGTCCGGTGCTCTTCCCTGTGCCTGCAATAAAATAYCCTGAGTAAAATATTTCCTCAGAGAGTAATAAGTAGCATTCCGGATGCTGGCATATGCCTCTCTAGCTATGAGTTCTTAAGTCCCAGTTCTGCTAAATAGGTGTTGAGCTTTGCACCCTGTCTAGCAGAGACGTCGGGAGTGCCTGGGGCTGAGTGGAGCGGGAGCGCAGATGGAGCTGGAACGGTGCTCCAGCTTCCCCCTTTCAGGAGGAGGATCCTGACTCAGCTGCTCTTAGTTGGGGTTTCTGCTCTTGGCTCTCTGCAACCTGCACATCTTCCTCAGGGGGTTCTTTCCATCATTCACTTGGGACTTAAGTTTTTTCATTTGCTCATAGGATTATAAGTTTGGAACAATCCCTTAAAATACAGTGCAGGAGCTTTAGATGTTAGGAAAAAGGAGGAAGATTAGATCCCCTATACACGATACTAAGGGCCGTTCCCAGCTTCCAGACTGCACGGCTTGGAGGTGCAGGGAACTCCAACCCTGGCAGCAGCTCAGTACCTGACCGGTGCTGCTGGAGGAAGGGCAGGATTTGGAGGTAAGGAAGAGTTAAAAATAAACAGTCTGATTTTCTGGGCCTAACTGGCCACAGAATGTTGTCACCTAATACAGTTGCCTGAGATCTTCCTGCTGTCCCTGTTTGTTGGCGCTTGTCTGCCTTGGAGTGACCTTGGCTCTGGAGCACCAGGGGACCCGTGGGACTCGGAGCTGCGGCCGGGGCCCCCCRGGGCTTTCCCAGTCTCTGCTTCTTGCAGAGATGAGAGCAGAAACGGTGCAAGTGTCTGACCAGGACCAGGCCCTGCTCGTACCTGCTGTGTTTGGCACCGGCAGCAACTAGGGATTTCTCACGCGGCTTCTGTTGCCTGTGGTAGTTCTGTTCTCATTTTATCCATKAATTTGACACTCAAGGCACTGATTTTTTTTTTTTTTTTTTTAACATATATGGAATATCAGCATAGCCCTATATGCTAGGAGTTGGAGTACCTAATTTGGGAATAATGCTACCTTCAGCTGAGTGCTTGAGAGTGCACATAAGAGCCCGTTGTGTAAGATGCAGGGTTTTAGATGGGGAAACCGAGGCACGGGCAGAGTGCCAACCCGAGCCGTGGCAGAGCTGGGCCTTAACCCGCTCTTCATCTCTGGCTAGCCCTCGTCACCGAGCTGTTTCTTGCTTCCCTTTGAGGATGGGCTAGTACAGCAGAGAGTGCAATTTGGTGTTACAAATTCCCCCCAAATGACTGCGAAAAGCCAGGATAAGTTAACCTTGCACCTGCAAATATGGCTTCAAGGCATTGTACTAGCAAGTCAGAGCCATGTAAAATGTGCCCAAAGATGGGTGCTGTCTTTGCTTTATATTATGAAGAAAAGCCACCACGCCGGCCTCTGGTTACTGTTGGAAATCCTCTCTGCAGCTCCCGAGCTCCTGTCCGCGCGCCGGCCCACGGACCTGGCTTTTGGGCTCGGCCTTGGAGGGTGAGTTTCATCTTGACGGAGCTTGCTGATTTTTTCAGTATATGTTAAAAGAAACTTGGTGCTTATCCTTTCAGTTGGAAAGTAGTAGCAAAATATCTTTCGGATTTAAATTGTGAGAAGTGATGAAATATCTCCTTGCCAGGAAAAGGAGAAGAAAAAAAAAAAAAAAAAAAAAGGAGGGAAGAATAGGCCTTATTTATTAAATGCTCTTGAGAAGTTTCTCCCGCTCATTTTTTCATAGGGTTCATAGTTCTCCGCTGTTCTAGTTCAGTTGTTAGAACATCTGTAAGAGGGTTTAGACTCATTTTATTTAGTTAAGGTGAATTTCATCAAATATGTAAGGGTTTCCTTGTGTGGTGTGGGTGGAAGGGAATGAACATCCAAACGACGTCATCCGTGTCCCGTAGGGAACGTGTCTGATGCCGTCCTCAGAGCACCCGTCCCGGAGCAGCGACGCTCGGGAGGCTCTGGCCTCGGAGCTGGCGCCAGGGGCCCAGGGGCRGCGGGGGGAGCAGGCGGAACCGGAACCGGGAAAGTTTGAATAYTTTTTTAAGCTGCGATGTAAGGTTTTCTCAAGTGCTAGATTCACAGCTCTTCAATGGATGGTGTATAAGAGCATAACCCATTTTTATAGAATTGTTTCTCCTTTATTGCTTAAGGCTAATGGAGGAAATAGTCTAATTTTGTCTTAGAAATTCTTTATTAAAATTGTTGGTTTCAGTCCATCCGCTCATAGATTCTGACTGATGAAACTGCAGGCTGTGATATCCGGCAGTTATAACTTTATCACTATTCACTACCCAAGAATATTACAGCTTTAAAACAGCCTTAAGCAAAAGGATGTTATTTCTTTGTACTAAATTTGGTTCATGGAAAAGAAAAAGAATCAAAACACTGGTAATCCGTACTGCATAGCAAACTCTTCTGAAAAATGTTATTGCACATGTAAAATATGAAAACTTGACTCTGCTGTGTGTTAGGCAATCCTGTAATCTTTTTTTGATTTTTTTTTGTTTTTTTTTTTTTCTTTTGAATCTTGTTAAATTCATTTCTTAAATGCTTGGTTGGAAGACTGTGACAATAGCTCATGAAATTGAGTGTTATTTTTCTTTTTTTTTAAATATGTAAAGTGCAGTCTTCTGTATTCATGCATATTGTACATATCTGTATATGTTTTACTGAGCAACTAAATAACAATAAATATGATGTTAATGGTGGCTATTGTATATTTCATAGCCTGGGTTTTAATTTGTGCAATAGGCAGGACCTGAAGACACGAAGCAGCGCAGCGATGCCAGTGCAGGTAACGTCGGGCCGTTGTGGCTGGGAGAACGGCTGGTGCCGCAGGGCGCCACAGGGCCGGCCGAGCGCCTCCGGCTTTGCTAACTGCACAGCTGAGTTTAAGCACGACCTTCCCTTCTGAAAACCTTTAAAACCCCAACCCTTCCCCTTCRTTTGGAGGATCCCTGGGTGCAAACCTTATTTTAAGCAAGAACGCTGCAACTTTCATAGATATTTTTCTTGCTTGGAAGATTTTTGAGTTAAATACTACAAATAAAAAGACGACAAGCTAGAGGTTTTATAGGCTAGAGGTTTTTTTAAGATTCTTAAAAATCCCTCCATATCTTAGTTATTCAAATAAAATTCTTATTCTTTTATGTTCCTGCAAGTCTTCCAAAGAACCCGTCAGGAGACCTGGCACATGGCATTTTCCAAAGCAAAAAACAGGCAGTAACCTGGGCAATGTTCTGACACGTTGTCTGAGAACCGAGGAACAACCTCCCACATCCTTCGTGCTCGGGGGAAAACGGAAGATGCTGCTCGGCCTTCGCCTTCACGGTGAGTTTGAGATGCAGAAAGCTGCTTGTGTTCAAACCCAGAACTTACCTTTTCTGTGTGCAGTGCTGTGGGACGAAGCCACGCGTCTCCCACGTGGTTAGTGAACTGTGCCTACATCCTGGCAGCGTGTCCTTACGCTTAGGTGGGTATCTGCTAATTCATATGTAATGCATCACGCAGAAGGAAAATTTTGAGACGTTGCTGTCCCYGTAAGATTCCTCTGCAATTTTCCATAGCACTCAATGAGCAAGTGGCGAAACAAAAACTGGATTTGAGAGCCATTTCAAATGAGCTGAGGGGGAACTTGCTTCATTTTCAAACTGTGATTTTAATATTCTCTGAAGGGAAGAACGATGTAGGGACCAGAAATATAATTTATTTTAAGGATGTGAGCTTATCTCATTATACTGGCCAGGTCCAGAGGCAACAGAAGGCATTTGCTAACCCTACCTATTAAGAGCTAACTGATTTTGAAACGCCATCTCTTATTAAACCTGGCATTGTATGCTGGATACTTGGTAGCTCTGGTTTTAAAAATAACTTGTTTAATTTTTTGTGTACGTGTGACTCTGCTAAGGAACAAATCGCATGTATTCACACCTTTCTGCTCCTTTCCATGTAAGTAGTTGCATGTTTTCCCCAATTTTCACCTATAAAACCTTAACTGACACATTTTTATTGAAATTACTTTTCCTTTTTGGTTACTGGTGTTGTTAAACTTTGACTTCTTTCTGATCCTGAAATACGAAGATAAACAAAATCCCAGGGTTCTTCGCAGCTGAGACCCAAGAGGAGGGGAGCCCCTCACCCCGCGCAGCCTCTCTGCAGAAGCCCTTCAGGTGCCCTGGAAGCAGAGCACGGCTCTTGCCCTCACCGCACCCGCAGCTCCTGCCTGCCTTCCAGCCCTCCCTCCTGGAGGGGATGGTGCCTTGGTGCCCTTGGTGCCCCTTGGTGCCCCTTGGTGGACCAGGGCGATCTCGGCTGCAGGTTCCAGCCTGGGCTACTTCGCTCTGGCTCTCTGGGCCTTTCTGCTGCTCTCTGTGCGTCCCCTCTGCTTTGCAGCATCGCTCTGCTCCTGAGCCCCGCGATTCCAGCACTTGTCCGGAGAAGACTGGGATTCCTGTACCCGAGTCCTGTATCCTGCCCATGCTGCTCCAGCAGCTGGGAGGTGGGAAGAGCAGCTCCCCGTCTGCAGCCTCCCGCTCTGCGAGGCCTGTTTCGGGTATCCTTCCATTTATTTGTTTACTCTAGTGAGAAACCCTGTGAGTTGTGTGCCCTGGGATCCATGTGGCTCTTCCCGCACGCGGTGACCGTTTGGGTAGCGGAGCCCCAAGGCCGCTCCGTCTCAGAGGGCCGGGAGCAGCGGCGGTCCCGGTGCTGCAGGAACGGCCTCGCCGAGCTCTCGTGTGCCCGGGCGGCGCTGGCTGGGGCGCAGCTCCGCTCGCACCCGCGATTGCTCCGTGCTGCGAGGTGCCTGCTCACCCCGAGCATTCGCCGCCCGCTCTTGTCTTCAGCAACGAGTTTCTGGGTTGTCTCCATGTTAAACAGGAATTATAGGTTATTCACTAACGGAAAGCAAGTGGCAGGTTGGAGAGCTTTTATAGTCCTTGCTCTCCTAATCTTTGTTCCCTGTGCTCTGAGTCTGTGCTGAGATTTGAAATGTCTGTAGACGTCTCTCTTTTCCCAAGCCATTTAACTGATTTAATTATGTCCTATGAATTATTTTCTCCATGAGGCTTGGAATTCTCGTCACGGAGGAGACCCCATCAATATGTATTGCAGTTCAGCAGCCGGGGATCCCTGGCGGCGCTGCGGG